TTCAAGAAGCTGTTTTTTACATTCTGCCTCGTTTTTCTGGTTGTTCTCAGAGGGACAGGAGGGCTTTAATAAGCTGGTCCATTAATTTCAGAAGCGTAAGTCTCCAGTCTTATTATAATCTTAGGGCCTGTTACAGATCGCATTGTGCGTTTCTCCCCCACACCCCTAAAATATTTTGAAGTTCTAACCCTCAATACCTTGGAATGTGATATTATTTGGAAATACACAGTATTCTGTGTAATCTAGTTAAAATGAGGTCCTAATCCAGTAAGACTGGTGCCCTTATTAAAAAAAAAAAAGAGAGAGAGATTTGAATGTAGATATAGATACAGAGGAAAGATGACGTGGAGACACAAAGGGAGAAAGCAGCCACGTAACTGGAGTGATGCATCTACAAGCCAAGGAATGCCTGAGGCTACCAAAAGGTAGGAGAAAGACATGGAACAGTTTCTTTCCTGGAGGCTTTAGAGCAAGGCCCTACTGATTTTCACTTCTGACCTCCAGAACTATGAGATGGTACATCTGTGTTGTTTTAAGGTACCCAATTTGTGGTATTTTGATATAGCAGCTCTAGGAAACTAACACAGGGCCTCTTTACTTGAAGGTATGGGATGGTTACTTTCATGTGACAACTTGCTGGGTCATGGGGTGCCCAGATATATGGTTAAACACTATTTCTGGCTATGTCTATGAGTGTTTCTGGATGAGATTAACATTTTAATCAGCCAACTGAAGAAAGCAATCTGCTTTCCTTAGTGTGGGTGGGCACCATCCAATCTGTTGAGGGCTTGAATAGAAGAAACAGGAAGAGGAAGGTTATAGTCTTTCTCTCTCTCTCTACCTGTCTGAATTGGGACACTGGTCTTCTCCTGCCCTCAGACTAGGACTTAACACCATTAGCACTCCTGGTTCTCAGGCTTTGACTTGAACTCACACCACTGGTTCCATGGTTCTGAGGGCTTTGGACTCAGACTGGAACTATGCCACCAACATTCTAGGGTCTCCAGCTTGCAGATGGCATATTGTGGGAGTTCTCAGCCTCCATAACTGTGTAAGCCAATTCCTTATAATAAATCTTTATCTATATACCTATATCTTGACTCTATTGATTCTGTTTCTCTGGAGAACCTTGACTAATACAAGGCTCTACTCCTCTATTTTTTAAAAAACATGTTTATTTATTTTGAGAGAGAGAGAGAGAGCGCATTAGCAAGGGATGGGCAGAGAGAGAGAGAGAGAGAGAGAGAGAGAGAGAGAGAGAATCCAAAGCAGACTCCATGCTGTCAGCACAGAGCCCAACGCTGGGTTTGATCCCATGAACCATGGGCTCGTGACCTGAGCTGAAATTAAGAGTTGGATGCTTAACTGACTGAGCTACCCAGTGCCCCCCAGCTCCTACTCCTTTAGACTGGTCTTTCCCTAAATCTTTACAAAGGTACCTCCTCTTCAAATGTTACCTTTCAGAGAAGTCTGCTGACCCTTCGCCTAATTTTCTAAAATGATCTTCTCTGAGTTATTCTCTATTATCTTATTGTATTTTATATACAACACTTATCACCATCTCAAACAATCTTATTTGGTTACATGTTTACTCTGTCTTTCCTACCACTCTTCCCCCCCAGCTCCAACCAGAAAGTAGAGTCCTTGAGGGCAGGAACTCATTCCAGTTCACTACGGTCCTTTAAGTGCCTAGAATAGTACCTGACACTTTGTAGGAACTCACATATTTGTTGACAGGTGATGGATGGCTTCCCTGTGTCCTAGGCAGCAGAGAGCATTATCAACCTTTTGGGTTGTTGTTAAATTTATAGGTAAAAAAGGATGCTTTATTTGTAGCTTTACTATATGAGTGAGATTGAGTAATTTTTTATATGTTTGAAAGCTATTTATATTTTCCTTTTTTGTGAAATATATTTTCCTCCTCTTGCCTGTTTTTCTAAAGGATTATTGATCTTTTCTTTTTGATTTACTTGAAGGAACTCTTTCCATACCAAGGAAATTAGTCCTCTGACATGGTTTGGACGTTTTCCCCTAATTTATGACTTTGCTTAAGGTATTTTTAAAATGTTTACTTATTTGAGAGAGAGAGAGGGAAAGACAGCACATGCGCAGGGGAGGGGCAGAGAGAGAGGGAGAGAGAGAATCCCAGGCAGGCCTTGCATTGCCAGCATGGAGCCTGGCTAGGGGCTTGATCCCACGAACTGTGAGATCATGACCTGAGCCAAAACTAAAAGTTGGACACTTAACTGACTGAACCATCCAGGTGCCCCCTACTTAAGTATGTATGTATGTATGTATTTTTTTTTAATGTTTATTTATTTTTGAAGGAGAGAGACAGAGTGTGAGTGGGGGTGGGTCAGAGAGAGAAGGAGACACAGAATATTTTTAAAAAATTTTTTTAATGTTTATTTATTTCTGAGACAGAGAGAGGCACAGCATGAGTGGGAGAGGGGCAGAGAGAGAGAGGGAGACACAGAATCAGAAGCAGGCTCCAGGCTCTGAGCTGTCAGCACAGAGCTCGATGCGGGGCTTGAACTCACAAACTGTGAGATCATGACCTGAGCCACAGTAGCTCAACCGACTGAGCCACCCAGGCGCCCCAGGAGACACAGAATCAGAAGCAGGCTCCAGGCTCTGAGCTGTCAGCACAGAGCCCAACATGGGGCTCTAACCCACAAACAGCAGGATCATGACCTGAGCCAAAGTCGGATACTCAACCGACTGAGCCACCCAGACGCCCCTAAGTTTTTTTTTCCCCCCCCTTAAGGTATTTTTTTGCAATGCAGAAAATGTTCATATAGATGAGTTTACTAATTTTTCTTTATGGGTTCTTACTTTAATTTTCATGTGGCTTCTTCTCTTTTTCACTGGATGAAAGACGAGACTGGAGTGATTCCCTTGGATCTAAAAATGGGCACCATGTGGTGAAGATGGCAGAGCTACTCTAGTAGTCCTGGACCCCTTGGCTATTACCCAAGACAGACATACATCTCTATCTTGTCTAAGTTCTTGTGTAGTTGGCTTTCTGCTTCAGCAGCTTAACATACGTACCGTGATACACTAAACATCATTAAAAAAATATTTGAGAGCGAGTGCATGCCAGTGGAAGAGGGGCAGAGAAAGAGGAAGAGACAGAACCCCAAGCGGGCTTCATGCTCAGCACAGAGCCCAACACCCTGCTCGAACCCATGAGTGGTGAGATCATGACCTGAGCCAAAATCAAGAGTCAGACACTTAACTGACTGAGCCACTCAGGCACCCCTACACCAAACCATCATAATCTGAGGAACTGATTTCAGATGAACAAGTCTTAACTCAAATTACCCACCCCCCCAAAAAAAAGTGTTTTGGTAATAGACTTTAAGTGTTTTTAATTAGCAGTTATGCTTTACTCTAAACTGGTTATATGTTTTCTTTTTATTAAAATTGAAAGATTAACTGGTCACCTTTCAAAAATCATGACTAGAACCCATTTAGTAAAGGTTTCAATATAAGAGCCACAGCAATAATTAAAGTAGAAAGAGAAGATGGTAGGATGCTTAATTACATCTTGGTTAACCCCTGTAACTTCTAGACAAAGAAATTATCATATCCTTAATTTGCATGAGGAAAATGATTTTTAGTAAGTCAGGAAAACTGCCTAAGGTCTCACAGTGAGTAAGTGGCAAATCTGGGATTCAAACCCAGATCACTATGATGACACACATCCTGTCACTGAACTATACTTCCTTTAGGGAAGCCTCTGTGCAAATATTGTGCTCCAAGTCAGACTGTTTAGAGATCTGTTTTCAGTAAAGGCTTAAAATCTACAAATGTATACATGTATTTTTGTTATATCATAAATGAGTAGATTAAGCAATATAAGAATTTAAACATAGCCACACAAAACATAGTGCTATCAGTTCATTCAAAAAGCAGAATAAGGTTAAAAGTACAACTTTTTATTTGATAAAGGAGGACACAAGACTGGGGTGGAAAAGAACAAGGCAAGGGACTCTTGCTTTTCATTCCAAGGCCTTCTCTAATTTTTGAACATGTATATGTATTATTTTGGTAATTTAAACAATTTATATAAAGTGGAACATAAAGGTTATTATTATTTTTTAATGTTTACTTATTTTTGAAAAAGAGAGAGAGAGCGCTTGCGTGCGAACAGGGGAGGGGCAGAGAAAAAGAGGAAGACACAGAATCTGAAGCAGGTTCCAGGCTCTGAGCTGTCAGCACAGAGCCTGACGCGGGGCTCAAACTCACAGACTGTGAGGTCATGACCTGAGCCGAAGTCGGACGCTTAACTGACTGAGCCACCCAGGTGCCCCATAAAGGTTATGTTTTAAAGCCAGCAGTTTAATTCACCCGTAGTGGTGACAAATGGATTCCCTCTTTTCACCCCAAAAAAGTAGGATCACATGTTTTTATATATATTAGGTTGAACCATCAGAGATTATCATCTTTGTAGATTATTTGTAACATGTCTCAACCTAATATGTGGAAAGGAAATGATGTAAAAAATAAAACATGGCCTTGGAATTAGAAAGATGTGTGTTTGAGTCCTCAGTTTGCCATTTACTAGCTGTGTGAATTTGGGCAATTGACAGCCTTTCTGAGCCTCAGTTTTCCTGAAAGTGGGAAAAAATGACACCCATTTTCAGGGTTATTCTTAGACATAATATATGTAAAGTCCCTAAAAACAATGCCTAACAGAGAGAAATTCAATGAATGGGAATATAAATATATATATATATATAGCCACCCCCTGCAAATATTCAAATAGGGTTAACACTTAAATGTATAATGATGGTGAGATAAGTTTCCTGTATAATAATTTATAACTTCAGATTTTAAAAATCGTATTTGTCACACCAATTTAAATTACTGCTGCAAGTGTGAAGTGAAATTACATAGAGCAGTTCCAACAATAAAGTAGAGCTGAATAAAGTAGAGCTGACTATGGAACTAATTATGGTTTCTGAAAGGGGAGACGTAATAGGCTATTTTTATACCTTCCTCACAGATACTCTGTAGATACAAGGATCCAGGATGCCTGTGGTGGCACTTGCACTCATTTTGCACATAAATGAGAACTTCTTTCTCCAGTGAACACAGTTTGCCTGCACCACTTCCCTGAGGGAACAAAAAAAAAAAAAAAAAAAAAAAAAAAAAAACACACAAGAAATTACAATTGATGACAGATTAAAAAAAGCACACACACTCTTTCACTCAGGTCTGTAATGCAGAAGTGGTAAAGTAAAAGACCGTATTTGGAAACACGAAGAAAACAAATCTTAACAATGTGATCTGAAAAGCTCTAGTTTTAATTATCCACAGAAACTTACAAGTGAAATTACTTATCAATTTAATCAATACAAATTGAAACTTCACTACTCATTCATTCAGCACATAATACATCCTATTTTAGGTGTGCTGGCCATGTGCTAGGTGTTTGAAATATGAAGATGAGAATGACCACATTCCTAACCTTGGAGGGCTTATAGTTGACAGTACGAGAGACAGAAATATAAACAAATAGTTATTCTGAAATAAACTGCTGTTACAGTTTTACTCCTGTAAAGGAATATGTTGCGCTTCAAGGAACTTGGTTGTTCCTGTCACTGAGATCATTAACATATCAGGAATCAGAGGCAATATTAAAAAAAGAAAAATCCCTGTATTTTACTTAAAAAAAATTACATAAAAACTTTTACAGATTTCAAGTTGAGGGCATGTATTAACCTCTGTTCCCTCTCCAAAACATTCTATGTTAATTTTTAAGGCATCATTTAGCAAGGACAAAGAGAATCAGAAAGGAGACAAAAATAAACGACCAGGGATGAGGAAGTGATAGTGATTTAGCAAATCCAAGAAAGCTGAACATTAAGCTAGTTACTAGTGAAGCCAAGAGCAGGTATCTTAGGCCTGTGATGAAGTAGAATGAAGGAGAGACAAATGTCAGAAGAACTGACTGAAAGGTGTTTTAGAAAGGACCCTCAGATCTTCCTGACTCCTACAGAAGACAGATTTATTTTCCTGATGAGGTAAAACAGGGAGATCTCTGTACTACCTGACTTGAGGGCAGGTATTGAAAATGGCACCACAACATGATCATATTGAGTGGGGGGTTGGTGGGGGGGTACACAGGATGAAAGGTAACTTACTGAATGCTGAGACTTCCAACCTTTGTCCCCTAACCTGGCTCCTCAGAATATATTCTTTTTTTTTTTTTTTCAACGTTTATTTTTTTTATTTTTGGGACAGAGAGAGACAGAGCATGAACGGGGGAGGGGCAGAGAGAGAGGGAGACACAGAATTGGAAACAGGCTCCAGGCTCTGAGCCATCAGCCCAGAGCCTGACGCGGGGCTCGAACTCACGGACCGCGAGATCGTGACCTGGCTGAAGTCGGACGCTTAACCGACTGCGCCACCCAGGCGCCCCTTAGAATATATTTTTTAACAAGATATAGGAAGAACAATCTCTGGGGAATTACAACCAGCCCCAAAGAAAAGCTCTAATGAGATGTATGTTGACGGTGACAAAATTGCTCTGCCTGCTCAATCTACAGTAAATACCTGAGTCAATGAACACTTTCCACATGTACAAAGCTGCTGAGCAACTTTTGCTGCCTCATAGTTAAATATGAGCAAGCACTTGAGGAAAGTCTCTTAATATGAACAAACTGAGACCAAAATGAATAGAAAAAGGCAACCAAATCTATGCTGGAAGAAGAAAAAAGAGTCTCAGAGAGACAGAAACTGCATCTACCATAAAAGAATAGGATGCTATAAAGCAGGGTATATAGAGAGCTAAAAAGTACTCATGGAAATCAAAACTATTGTGCTTAATATTCTATTTGTCATTCCATATCCACTCTACTCTTCTCTGTGGCCCAGGAGCCTGGTCTTTAGGGACTACATCAACCAGGCTCACTTGCACTCTGTCACTGAATGTAGTGAAGGGACAAACACCAGGATAGAGGGTAGGAGAGAGAAGGTGGCATGTTTATTCCACTGGCTCTTTCCCTGTCAGACCATGTGGGAAATGGGTAAATGATTAGGGATTGCAGTTTTCCACAGTATGTCCACAGAAGTTAGACTCTAAACTATATGCATTTATAACTTTGTTAAAATAAAAACCAAATCAACAAATTAAGAAACACTGTCAATCGAGTCCCTGGGTGGTTCAGTTGTTTAAGTGTCTGACTCTTGATTTTGTCTCTGGCCATGATCTCACAGTTCATGAGTTGGAGCCCCACATCAGGCTTCACGTTGACAGTACGGAGCCTGCTTGGGATTCTCTCTCTCCATCTCTCTCTGCCTCTCCCTCTGTCCCTCCCCCACTTGTGCACAAGTGCACTCTCTCTCTCAAAATAAATAAACTTAAAAAAACCCACAGTGTCAAGTACTGGGAAATCTGAAAATGAGAACAAGAGTATGTAACACTGCAAGCTATTTTTCCCCTAACTGCCTAAAAAACCCAAAACTGAAGGTATCTTAAGGTGTTATTCAGACAGTTATGATACATATTTCTAGATACATATTCTAGAAATTATGTCATATGTACAAAAAGTCCATTAATACTAACTGCAAAACTGTAAAACTTTGTTTATGTTCTACTTTTCATTTGTTTACGAATAATAATTCCTCAACAATACTAATTACAGAAACACATCTTTAGATTTTTATCTAGTTTAAAACACCTTATAAGGCAGCAGACTTTACATACCAAATAGTATATGCTATCAGTTACACAAATAGGCAGTTTTAGCCCGAGTAATAAAAATAAAGGAAGTCAGGGCACCTGGGTGGCTCAGTCAGTTAAGTGTCTGACTCTTGGTGTTGGCTCAGGTCATGATCTCATGGTTTGTGAGTTCGATCCCCACATTGGACTCTGTGCTGGCAGTATGGAGTCTGCTTGAGAGGGAGTCTCTCTCCCTCTCTCTCTGCCCCTCCTACACGCACTTGCTCACTCTCTCTCTCAAAATAAATAAATAAATAAATAAATAAATAAATAAATAAATAAATAATAAATAAATAAAAGAAGTCAAGTGAACTCTGTGAGTGTTTGTCTTAAAAAACAAACAAGCAGGAAGGGAATATTTACAAGAAATACAGATCTAGTTTATCTAGAGATTAGAGGAAGGCCACATGAAGTCTTGTGGGTCTGGGGAGAGATTAAAAAACAGCAGAGCATCATAAATTTGGGCAGATAACTGAAGTTATGGTGTAGAACAGAGATGGAGAATATGTTTTCATAAAATATGTGACATTGAATCTTAAAGGAAAAAATACACCTCCATAACCCTCTGTTCCCACCTACTTACTACCACTCTTTCCCTTCAGGTCCAAGCTCCTTGAAGATGATACTAATGACGATGATGACAACAATGTCAACATTTATGAGTGCTTGTTACACACCGGGCATTGTTGCAAATACCTCACATGTATTAAGTCATTTAATCCTCAAAACAACTTATGAGGAAGGTACCATAAGGTCCATTTTACAGATAAAAGAATGAGGATAAGGGGTAATTAAATGATTGTCCAAGGTCACTCAGCTAAAAAGGGTTGGAACTAGAATTTGAAGAACTGCCTATAGTGTAGACATTTTCCATTTCGTCATTTCTCAGTAACTTTTCAATCTCCCTTAAGAAGGCCTCTATCCTCCCGAACTCTACTGAAACTGGTTACTAGTGAGCAGCTAGTTGCTAAACCTAATTGGCTCTTGTTTTTAGCATAGTAGTTGACTCCTCTTATACATTCTTGAAATACTCTAGTCCCTTTCTATTTCTGTGACTATTTCTTTTCATTTTCTACTTCTGCCTCCTTAAAATATTGATGTTCACTAAGGTTCTACATTCTTAGCTTTCTTTTCTTTTCACTCTTATGGCCTTAATTACTATGTGTATACTAAGAACATACAAACCTAAAGTCTTTGCCTTTAGTCCTTGGATTCATATATCTACCTACTCACTGGCAATTTCCACCTAGTACTTCTAGTCTCTAGGTAAAGCTTTAGGCCTTTGACCTTTGTCCAACAGGATGGTTGTCCATCAGTATGACTAGTTAAACTAGTAAAATGGTTTGCCCAGGTGCATATGTGACAGGGACTGCCAGTTGCTTATTCAATATGCAGTCTCTTCTCTTCCTTAAAAACAGAGACTTGATTTTATTTAGAATGGCAATGTGTCCATTTAAAAGACTGCACCTTCCCATTTCTCTTACAGCTAGAGATGTGCTTATTACAAGCCAATAAGATATAATTGAAGGTTATCTGATATGACTTCTGTAAAGGCACAGGAAAGGTAATTGCTTTGTGTCTTTTTACGCCTCTTTCCTTCCTCTGCCTGGAAAATGTCATGATGATGGTAAGAATGTCAATAGCCATATTGGGCCACAAGGCTACCTGAAGGAAAAGCCATGTGACAGTGGTACACAGAGACAAAGGAAAATGGGTCCAAATAATCATGTACCCTGGATGGTTTCCCTTCAAAGTTCTTAAGTTTTATGATTTAAAGTGCTTACTTTGGACTTTGTTATATACGGCTAACTAAATCCTAACTAATAGAGCCTACGACCAATCATGTCCAAATAACAGAATCTGCAGAGTTCAAACGTCACACATTGTGGTAGGTGCTCAGGAATCCCAGAGTCCTGTTCTCTTCATTTAATGTTTACTTATTTATTTAGAGAGAACAGGTAGGGGAGGGGCAGAGAGAGAGGGAGGGAGAGAGAATCCCAAGCAGGATCCAGCTATCAACACAGAGCTTGAGGTGGGCTTGATTCCATGAACTGTAATCAGAGATCAAGAGCTAGACACTTGACTGACTGAGCCACCCAGACACCCTTGCCCCTCATTTAAAATTACTCTGGGGGCACCTGGGTGGCTCAGTTGGTTAAGCATCTGACTCTTGCTTTTGGCTCAGGTCATGATCTTGTGGCTTTGTGGGTTTGAGCCCCACACTGGGCTCTGCATTGGCAGCACAGAGCCTGCTTGAGATTTTTTCTCTTTCCCTCTCTCCCTGCCCCTCCTGCACTTGTACTGTTTGTCTCTCTCAAAGTAAACTTAAAAAAAAAAAAAACTCTTAAAAAAATAAAATTATTCTGTAGAGTGAGACAGTGGAAAATGAGGTACCCAGACTATATCCTCTCAAAAACAATGGAAACTAATATAATTGGTTTCATTTCTCCAAAGGAAACTAATTAATAAAGCTCCAGTAACCAAATGAAGAAATGGAGACCCACAGACTGCTTGACAAAGAATTCAAAATAATCATCTTAAAGCAGTTCAATGAGCTGCAAGACAACACTGACAGACAATGAAAACAAAATCAGGAAAGTAATACATGAACAAAAGGAGAAGTTCAATGAAGAGAAACTATAAAGAAGAAAAAGTCTGGAGCTGAAGCACGTAAGGTCTGAACTGAAAAATTCAACAGTGAGCTTCAATAGTATATTTGATCAAGCAAAAGAAAGAATCAATGAGCTTGAAAACAGGTCCGTTGAAATTACCTATTTGGAGGAACAAAAAGAAAAGAACAAGAAAGTGAAGAGAACCTCTGAGACTTACAGGAAAGCATCAAAAGAACCAACATAAGCATTACGGGAGTTCTAGAAGGAGAAGAGAAAGACAAAGGGGCAGAAAACTTATTCAAAGAAATAATGAGGGCACCTGGGTGGCTCAGTCGGTTGGGCATCCCACTTCAGCTCAGGTCATGCTCTCACAGTCTGTGAGTTCAAGCCCTGCGTCGGGCTCTGTGCTGACAGCTCAGAGCCTGGAGCCTGCTTTGGATTCTGTGTCTCCCTCTCTCTCTGCCCCTCCTCCACTCACACTCTGTCTCTGTCTCTCTCAAGCATAAACATTAAAAAGAATTTTAAAAAATAAATAATGGCTGAAAATTCCCTAAATCTGGGTAAATAAATATCCAGATTCATGAAGCCTAAAAGACCTCAAATAGGTTGAACATGAAGAGTTCTACAGCAAGACACATGACAAATTATCAAAAGTTAAAGACAGAGAGAATTTTGGAGACAGCAAGAAAAAAGCAACTTGTCATATACAAGGGAACCCCCATAAAACGAAGGAGGATTTCTCAGCAGAAACTTTGCAGGTCAGGAAAGAGTGAGATGATATCGTCAAAGGACTGAAATACAAAACTGCCGACCAAGAATACTATACCTGGAAAAACTGTCCTTTAAAAATGAAAGAGAAATAAAGACCTTCTTATATAAAACTGAGTAAGTTTGTCACCATTAGACTTGCCTTACAACAAGTGCAAAACAGTTTTTCAAATTGAAATGAACTGACACTAAACAACAACAAGAAACTATATGGAAGTATAAATCTCACTGGTAAAGGTAAATATCAACAAATTCAGAATATAATATTGTAATAATGGTGCATAAGTCACTTTTAATACGAGTATAAAAGTTAAATGATGAAAAATATTAAGAATAACTACAACCACAAAAATTTGTTAATAGATACGGTAAAAAAAAGTAAATTCTGACATCAATAACAAAATCTGTTGGGGGGACATAGAAGTGTCAAGTTTTGGTAGGCAATTGAACTTAAAGAACAGACTGTTATGAGAAGTTTTATGCAAGCCTCATGGTAACCACAAAGAAAAAAAGCTACAGCAAATACAAAAAAGATAAAGAATCAAAGTATATCACTACCAAAAAATCAGCAAGTCATATAGGAAGACAGCAAGACAGAGGAGAACCATAAAAACAGAAAACAATGAACAAAATGGCCATATTAAGTCTTTACTTATTAATAATTACTTTAAATGTAAGTGAACTAAACTCCCCAAAAGGTACAGAATGGCTGCATAGGTAATACAAAAACAAAACCCCAAACAAGACCCAACTGTATGCTGGCTATAAGAGACTCACTTTAGATTTAAGTACACACATGGACTGAAAGTGAAAAGGTAGAGAAAGATATCCTATGCAAATGGTAGCCAAAAGACAGCAGAGGTGGCTATATTTATATCAGACAAAATAGACTTTAAGTCAAAAACAAAGACGAGGTCATTATTTAATGATAACAGAGTCAATTCAGCAGAAGATATAACAATTATAAACGTAAATGCACCCAACATCAAAGCACCTCAATATATAAAGTAAATATTGACAGATCTGAAGGGAAAAATAGACAACAATATAATAATAGTAGGAGATTTCAATACTCCACTCTATACGGGGACCTATAATAAATAGATCATCCAGACAGAAAATCAGTAAGGAAACAGCAGAACTGAACAACACCATAGACCAAATGGACCTTAAAGACATATACAGAACTTTTTACCCATCAGCAGAAGAATATATTTTTTTTCCTCAAGTGTACATGGAACATTCTTTAGAGCGGATTACATGTTAGGTCACAAAATAAGTAACCAAATTTTAAGAAGATCTAAATCATTACAAATATCTTTTCCAGGAGCGCCTAGGTGGCTCAGTCAGTTAAGCATCTAACTTCAGCTCAGGACATGATCTTGCAGTCTGTGCCTTTGAGCCCCACATCGAGCTCTGTGCTGACAGCTCAGAGCCTGGAGCCTGCTTCGGATTCTGTGTCTCCCTCTCTCTCTGCCCCTCACTCACTTGCACTCTGTCTCTCAAAAATAAATAACCATTAAAAAAAATCTTTTCCAACCATAAGGAATGAAACTAGAAATCAGTAACAATAAGATGGGAAAATTCATTAATACATGAAAATTAAACATAGACACTTTTCCAAAGAAAATATGCAGATGGCTAACACACACATGAAAAGATGCTCAACATCACTCATCATCAGAGAAATACAAATCAAAACCACAATGAGATACTACCTCACACCTGTCAGAATGGCTAAAATTAAAATTCAGGAGACAACAGATGTTGGCAAGGATGAGAAAGGGGAACGCTTTTGCACTGTTGGTGTGAATGCACACTTGCGCAGTCACTTTGGAAAATAGTATGGAGGTTCTTCAAAAGATTAAAAATAGAATTACCCTACTACCCAGCAATTGCAATACTAGGTATTTATTCAAAGGATGCAAAAATGCTGACTCAAAGGGACACGTGCACCCCAATGTTTATAGCAGTGCTAGCAACAATAGCCAAATTATGGAAAGAGCCCAAATGTCCATTGACAGATGAATTGATAAAGAAGATGTGGTATATATATACACAATGGAATACTACGTGGTGATCAAAAGAATGAAATTTTGCCATGTATAACAACGTGTGTGAAACTAGAGTGTGTTATGCTAAGTAAAATAAGTCAGTCAGAGAAAGACAAATATCATATTATTTCACTCATATGTGGAATTTAACAAACAAAACAGATGAAGGACACTTGGGTGGCTCAGTCAGTTAAGCGTCCAACTCTTGATTTCTGCTCAGGTCATGATCTCACAATCATGGAATCAAGCCCCACACTGGGTTCTGTGCTGGGTGTGGGGCTTGCTTGGGATTCTCTCTCTCTCTCTGCCCCTCCCCTAATCACACTCTCTCTCTCAAAATTAACAAACAAAAACAAAACAAAACAAAACAGATGAACACATGGGGAAGGGAAGGAAAAATAAAAACAGAGAGGGAGGCAAACCATAAAAGATTCTTTAAAAAATTTTTTTAATGTTTATTTATTTTTGAGACACACACACAACACATGAGTGGGGGAGAGGCAGAGAGAGAGAGAGGGAGACACAGAATGTGAGGCAGGTTCCAGGCTCTGAGTTGTTAGCACAGAGCCTGATGTGGGGCTTGAACTCATGAACCATGAGATCAAGACCTGAGCTGAAGTCAGACACTTAACCAACTGAGCCACCCAGGCGCCCAAACCATAAAATATTCTTAAATACAGAGAACAAACTGAGGGTTGCTGGAGAGAAGGTGGGTGGGGGAATGGGCTAAATGGGTGACGGGCATTAAGGAGGGCACTTGTTGGGATGAGCACTGGGTGTTATATGTAAATGATGAATCACTGGGTTCTACTTGTGAAACCAATACTACACTATATGTTAACCAACTTGAATTTAAATAAATAAACTAAAAGAAAAAAAAGGTGGGAAAATTAATTCATACATGAAAACTAAACAATGACCCTGAGTCAAAGAGGAAATTGAAAGAGAATTTAAAAACAATCTCAAGACAAATGTAAACTAAAACACAACATACCATAACTTATGGATTGTAGCAATCCATGCAGTACTAATAGGGAGGTTTATAGCAATAAATACTTTAAGAAAGAAGAAAGATCTTAAACAACCTAACTTTACACCTCCAAACTAGAAAAAGAACAAGCTAAGCCCAAAGTAAGTAGAAAGGAGAAAATAATAAAGATAAATATAACATAAATCAAACATAAATCAAATAAAGAACAGAAAAAAAATCAACAAAAGTAAGAGGTGACTTTTTGAAAAAAGTAAACAAAATCAAAGAACCCATAGCTAGACTAAGAAAAAAAAAAAAGAAAAGTCAAATAAAATCAGAAACGAAAAAGGAGACATTACAACAGATATTTCAGAAATAAAAAGAAACAAGGGACTATAATGAACAATTATATGCTAACAAGCTGGGTAACCTAGAAATCAATAAAGTCCTAAAAGCATACAATTTACTAAACCTGAATCAAGAAGAAACAGAAAACTTGAACAGACCAATAATAAATAAGGAGATTGAATCATGAATCAAAAACTTTTGAACACAACAACAAAAAGACCAGGACCAGACAGCTTCTTGGGTGAATTCTACCAAACTTTCAAAGGAGAATTAATACAATCCTTCTTAAACTCTTCCAAAAAAATAGAAGAGAGATCACTTTGAAATTCATTTTGAAGCCAGCATCATTCTGATACCAAAGCCAAAAACACCACAAAAAGAGAAAGCTAAAGGCCAATATCCCTGATGAATACAGATGCAAAAATTCCCAATAAAATACTAGCAAACTGAATTAACAACACATTACAAGGATCAATCTATGCAAATCACTGTGATAAACAACAGTAAAAGAGTGAAAGATGAAAAAGCACATGATCATGTGAGTAGATGCAGAGAAACCATCACAAAATTCAACATCCACTCATGATAAAGACTTTCAACAAAATTAGTAGAGTAGGAACTTACCTCAATAAAGACCATATAAAGGGATGCCTGGGAGGTTCAGTCATTTAAGTGTCTGGCTCTGGCTCAGGTCATGATCTCATGATTCGAGAGTTTGAGCCCCAAGCTCAGAGCCTGGAGCCTGCTTCAGATCTGTGTCTTCCTCTCTCTCTGCCCTCCCCCACTCAGGCTCTGTCTCCCACTCTTTCTCTCTCTCAAAAATAAACATTAAGAAAAAAAAAAAAGACCATATATGAAAAGCCCACAGCTAACATCGTAATCAATGAGGAAAAACTGAAAGCTCTTACTCTCAGATCTAGTAGGATACAAGGATCCCCTCTCTCACCACTTCTATTCAATGTAGTACTGGAAATCCTAGCCAGAGCAACTAGTGAAGAAAAGAAATAAAAGGCAACCAAATCAGAAAGAAAGAAGTAACATCAGCTCTATTTGCAGATGACATGATCATGTATAGAGAACACCCTAAAGACTCAAGAAAAAAACTGTTAGAAGAAATA